GTGATGACAGGTGAGAGCCACCATGCCTGGCCGCAACTTTCAATAAGTATACCAAGACAATGAAATGGGGAGTGAAGAGCTCTTTCAACAAATGGTGCTGGGACAACTGGATATCTGCATCCAAAACACTGCACTTGAAACCCTACTTCACACCATACACAGAAATTAACTCAAATGGCTCACAGCCCTAAATGTAAGACCTAAAACTATAAGCCTCTAGAAGATCTAAGACAATGAAACATACGTCCACAAAAACACTTGTACATGAATGTTCATGGCAGCACTACTCATAACACCCAAAAGTAGAAATAACCCAAATGTCTATCAAATAATGAATGGATAAATAAAATGTTATATATTTATACAATAGAATATTATCTGGCCATAAAAAATGAATAAAGTACTGATACATGCCACAACATGGAAGACTGTTGAAAATATCATACTAGCCTTGGCAACACAGCAAGACCCACCCTTATAAAAATAATTTTAAAATTAGCCAGTGTGCTAGCATGCATCTGAAGTCCCAGCTACTCAGGAGGCTCAAACAGGAAAATCACTTGAACCCGGCAGGTCATGGCTGCAGTGAGCTATGATGGCGCCACTGCACTCCAGTCTGTTTCACAGAAGAAGGCTTTATCTCTAAAAAAAAACACTCAAGAAAACACATACACACACACACACATACACACAGTGGAAGAAAGCAGTAACAAAAGGCCGCATTACTCCAGTATTATTCCATTTATAAATTTATACGAAAGGTCCAGAAAAGGCAAATCTAGATAGATACAATACCAAAAGTACAATAAACAAAAGAAAATAGAATTAAATTGGGCAACATCACAATGGAAATCTTTTGTGCTATAAGTAATACCATCAAGAAAGTTTAAAAACAACTCACAGAGGCTGGGCGTGGTGGCTCATGCCTGTAATCCTAGCACTTTGGGAGGCCGAGGTGGGTTGATCACCTGAGGTCAGGAGTTCAAAACCAGCCTGGCCATCATGGTGAAACCCCATCTTTAAAAAAAAACAACTCACAGAGCAACAGAAAGTATCTTTGAATCATGAATCTGGCAAGGGAGTGGTATCCATAATATATTAATATAAAGAGCTCTTAAAACTTGGCTAGGTATGGTGGCTCATGCCTGTAATCCCAGCATTTTGGGAGGCCAAGGCAGGTGGATCACCTGAGGTCAGGAGTTCGAGACCAGCCTGGCCAACATGGTGAAACCCTGTCTCTACTAAAAATATAAAAATCAGCTGGTCATGGTGGCACATGCCTGTTGTCCCTGATACTTGGGAGGCTGAGGCAGGAGAATCACTTGAACCCCAGAGGTGGAGGCTGCAGTGAGCTGAGTTTGCACCATTGCACTCCAGCCTGGGTGACAGAGCCAGACTCTGTCTCAATAAGAGAAAAAGAAAAAGAACTCTTAAAACTTAATTATTGGCTGGGTGCGGTGGCTCACTCCTATAATCCCAGCACTTTGGGAGGCCAAGGCGGGTCGATCACCTAAAGTCAGGAGTTCAAGTTCAAGATCAGCCTGGGCAATATGGTGAAACACCATCTCTACTAAAAATACAAATATCAGCTGGGCATGGTGGCGGGAACCTGTATCCCAGCTATTCGAGAGGCTGAGGCATGAGAATCACTTGAAACCAGCAGGGTAGAGGTTGCAATAAGTCAAGATTGCACCACTGGACTCCAGCCTGGATGACAGAGCAAGACTCTGGCTCAAAACACACACAGACACAAACAAACAAACAAAAACCTTAATTACAAAAATCAACCCCATTTTTAAAATGGGCAGAGGATTTGAATAGGTATTTCTCCAAAGACACACGAATGGCCAATAAGCACATGAAAGGATGTTCAACATCATCAGTTATTAGGGAAATGCAAATCAAAACCATAATGAAGTACCACTTCACATCCATTAGGATGTCTATAACAAAAAAAGACAGGCCATAACAAGTATTGACAAGGATGTGGAGAGGCTGGCACGGTGGCTCACACCTGTAATCCCAGCATTTTGGGAGGCTGAGTCAGGCAGGTCCCTTGAGCCCAGGAATTTGAGACCAGCCTGGACAATATGGTAAAATCCCATTTCTACAAAAAATACAAAAATTAGCTAAGTGGGATGGCCTGCCCCTGTAGTCCCAGCTATTCCAGAGGCTGATGTGGGAGGATCGCTTGAACCCAGGAGGTGGAGGTTGCAGTGTGCTGAGATTGCACCACTGCATCCCAGCCTGGGTGACAGAATGAGATTGTCTCAAAGAAAAAAAAAGGATGTAGAGAAATTGGTGGTAGAAATGTAAATTGTGCAGCCACTGTGGAAAACGGTTTGGCGTTTTCTCAAAAAGCTAAACACTGAGCTACCATATGACCCAGCAATTCCACTCCAATGAATATATCCCAGAGAAATGAAAACACACATCCATATAAAAACTTATACATGAATGTTTATAGAAGTATTATCCATAGGCTGGGCACGGTGGCTCACACCTGTAATCCCAGCACTTTGGGAGGTTGAGGCAGGTGGATCACGAGGTCAAGAGAACGAGACTATCCTGGCCAAGATGGTGAAACCTTGTCTCTACTAAAAACACAAAAATTAGCTGGGCGTGGTGGTGCACACCTGTAGTCTCAGCTACTTGGGAGGCTGAGGCAGGAGAATCACTTGAACCCGGGAGGTGGAAGTTGCAGTGAGCAGAGATTGCACCACGGCACTCCAGCCTGGCAACAGAGCAAGACTTCATCTCAAAAAAAAAAGAAAAAAAAAGAGCCAGGAGTGTGGGTGCAGTGGCTAATGCCTGTAATCCCAGCACTTTGGAAGGCCAAAGCGGGCAGACCACAAGGTTAGGAGTTCGAGACCAGCCTAGCCAACATGGTGAAACCCTGTCTCTACTAAAAATACAAAAAAATTAGCTGGGTGTGGTGGCGGGTGCCTGTAATCTCAACTACTTGGGAGGCTGAGGCAGGAGAATTGCTTGAAACTGGAAGGCAGAGGTTGCAATGAGCTGAGATCACACCACTGCACTCCAGCTTGGGAAAAAGAGCAAAACTCCGTCTCAAAAAAACCAAAAAACAAACAAAAAAAAGAAGTATTATCCATTACAGCTGAAGACTAGAAATAATGTGAAAGTGTATAAACTGAAAAATAAATAAATATGTGGCCTATTCATACAGTGGAATATTATTCAGTCATAATAAAGAACAAGTGATGTTGGGACTACCAGATATCTGCTGCATGATCCATGAAAGCATCTTGCTAAGCAAAAGATGCCAGGCACAAAAGGCCACATAGTGTATGATTCCATTTATATGAGATGGCCAGAATAGGCAAATCCATTGAGACAGGAAGCAGATAAGAGATTACTTTGGGTTGGGAAAGTGGGTAATGAAGAGTGACTGTTAGTTAACTGGTAGAGTTTCTTTTGGAGGAGGGTGATAAAAATGTTCTAAAATTAAATTGTAGTGGTAGTTTCACAGTCCCATGCATGCATGTATATATATACACTGATTGTGTACTTTATCATTTTTAAATTTTTAAATTTTTATTTTTGAGACAAAAATCTCGCTCTCTCACCCAGATGGAGCAAAGCGGTGTGATCTCAGCTCACTGCAACCTCCACCTCCCAGGTTCAAGTGATTCTACTGCCTCAGCCCCCGAGTAGCTAGGATTGCAGGTGGGCACCACCACACCCAGCTAATTTTTGGATTTTTAGTAGAGACAGGATTTTACCATGTTAGCTAGGCTGGTCATGAACTCCTGGTCTCAGGTGATCCACTCATCTAGGCCTCCCAAAGTGCTGGGATTACAGGTATGAGCCACCATGCCTGGCCTGATTTGTACACTTTAAATATGTGAAACGTATGGTATGTGAAGTATGTCTCAACTAAGCTGTTTTAAAAACAGCATTGTGGGCTGGGTGTGGGGGCTCAAATTTATAATCCCAGCACTTTGGGAGGAAACAGGAGGATCACCTGAGCCCAGGAGTTTGAGATCAGCTTAGGCAACAGAGAAAGACCCCATCTCCATAAATTTTTTTTTTTTTAAATTAGCTGGGCATAATGGCACACACCTGTAGTCCCAGCAACCTGGGAGGCTGAGGTGGGAGGATTGTTTGAGCCCACGAGTTAGAGGCTGCAGCGAACTGTGATTGTGCCACTGTACTCCAGCCTGGGTGACAGAGCGAGATTCTGTCTCAAAAAAAACCCACTGTGATCATATATGTAAGTATGTAGGAATGAGATAACATGAGGTAAGATTTGCTTCAAAATATTTTTATGAAAGATAGATGGTAAAAGCTTGTTAATCCTTGAATCTGGGTGATGGGTACTTGGGTATTCATTATACCATTCAGAAAACTGTCATAATAAAAAGTCAAGTTAATAAAAGATTCCCTCTTATCATCAGACAGATGTAAGACCAGAATCTTTAAAAGCTTTGAGAAGGCAGGGTTGGAAGAGAACTTGATCACCTGTGAAGTCATTTGGTTAACAGATGGGATCCAGAGATGGAAAGTGACTTTCTCAGGAATGAACAGAAGATGGGGTAGCAGGAGATAAGCTGGAGAAGGACCCTGTCCTCAGGGCTGTTTCTATTATTTTTCTTTTCTTTTTTTTTTTTTTTTTTGGAGATGAGATGTAAGTCTTGCTCTGTTGCCTAGGCTGGAGTGCAGTGGCACGATAACAGCTCACTGCAATCTCTGCCTCCTGGGTTCAAGTGATTCTCCTATCTCAGCTTCCCAAGGGACTACAAGCATTTGCCACCACATTCAGCTAATTTTTATATTTCTTAGTAGAGATGGGGTTTTACCATGTTGGCCAGGCTGGTCTTGAACTCCTGACCTCAGGTGATCTTCCCGCCTGGGCTTCCCAAAGTGCTGAGATTACAGGTGTGAGCCACCACACCCAGCCAGGGCTGCTTCTAACTAAACAAACAAGACCAATGACTCAGCTAGTGGCTTGGGGGCACCTTGGAAGGTCTGGCACTTACTTGAGTTTCAGCTCCCTGGTGAGCTCATTCTGAGTCTGCTCTAGCTCTTGGCGCTCCTTGATGTGTTCTTCTTGGAGGTCGTGGATCTCAGCCTTCACTGCCTGAAGCTTGGAGAAGAGCTGGAACGAGGGGAGAGGCAGGTGAGAAGGGAGCATAGCGTTCTCCCTTTCCCTAAATCTCAAGGCACCTCCATCTGGCCTCATTCCTTTCATACCTTTTTGAGTTTTTTGGTCTTGATGTCCACCTCTTGCTGCAATGAGCTGTATGTCTCTTTAAGTTCCAAGGTCTCCTCATCTCGACTTTCCATCTGTTGCTGGATTTCTCTTTCTCGACGTTTCTGAGCAACATGACAAAATTCATCAGCTTGCTCTTAGAGACTGTGTCTATGCTGGGTTCCCCAACCTAGGACCAGAGTCTCCAGCTAGGATGAGGCATATACACCTTGCTCATTCTCTTTGAAGAGAGTCTAATATGAGAGAAGTTTGCTCTACAGCATAAATACACCCTACCCCATCCCATTCTCCCTGAAAAAGAATGAAAAGTTACCTGCTCTGCAATTTCCTGTCGTTTCTGCTCCAGGATTTTCTGCTGTTCATTCGTATGATCTACTATGTTTTTTCCTCCAACAAGCAACTTACTCTCCATAGCCTGAGTGAGAAACAAAGTAGAATCCATCTCGTGAATGGTTTCCCTCAGAACATAACTCCTCACAGGGGAGCCTGTGAAAGATAAAGACCTCAGGACTGAGCCAAAAGGGACAAACTCTGGGAAAAAATACACTATGCTCAGCTGTACCCATCCATCAATGGTGAGGGACTGCGGCAGCTTCACTAGAGGCTTCTTGGTAACACTGAAAATACAGCTTCTCCAGACACATGAATTTCAGCTTTAACAAAAAAATCTTTTGCTGGTTTCTACAAAGTATTAACCCCGCTTAGAACATATTAAGCAGCTCCTTTATGTTATGTCCTAGAGATGCAATGTGAACGTGAATCATAAAGCTCACAATCCACTGAGCAACAGACAAGCAAGCAGGCTTTAACCATATGGCCCCAGATGCCATCATGAGGAAAAGACAGTCATTAATGGGAGAGGCACACTGGCGGGACAGAATTCAGACTTTGTGGGACTTTAAAAAGTTTTTTAAAGACAGGGTCTAGTTCTGTGTTGCCATATGAGTTAGAGGCTCACACCTGCAGCCCTGGCACTTTGGGAGACTAAGGTGGAGGGCTGCTTGAGTCCAGAAGTTCAAGACCAGCCTGGGCAACACAGTGAGCCTTTGTCTCTACAAAAAAACAAAATTAGCTGGACATGGTGGTGTGGGCCTATAGTCCTAGATACTCAGAGGCTGAGGTAGAAAGATTGCTTGAGCCTGGGAGGTCAAGGCTGCAGTGAGCCAAGACTGCACCACTGCACTCCAACCTGGGTGACAGAGTGAAACCCTACCTCAAAACAAAACAAAACAGAACAAAATATGGGTACAGCCACTCACACAGTGCAAGTGCAGCAGTGAGGAGGCTTTGACATAATGGCGTCTCAGAGCCCCTCCCTGGAACAAAGTTATCTCCTAACTGTGTTGTATATGACTGCATTTCACATTAGGTCTTAAAAGTCCTGGAAGGGACTTCCAAGGTTTTAAGAACCCTGCCTCTGAAGTACAATAGCACCCAGCTCTGTGAAAGGGCCACTAATGAAGCCACTGATGACAGAAAACACTACAGCTTCATATAGTGGGGGTAGGAGGGAGGCAAAGAGAACTTATAACTTTAAAATCTGTAAATACGGAGACGTTTTAGGATAGAAATCAAAGTTGACATGAATTCAATAAAACAGAACTCAACACTTCCAAGGAATTCTGGCTTGCGGTTGGCCTGCGGCCATCCTCAGACCTCCAAGTCTCCCTTTGCACTCTCCTCTGCCATTAAAGCCCAGTGGAGCCCAGAGTCCAGGCACCTGCAGGCACAGTGCATTGCCACCAGAAAGAAGACTCAAAACAATGGTAGCCTACACACTCGCGAATGCTAATAGCCATTGGGTGGAAAATGGAGTCGATGTAAGGAAATATATTAGCACCCAGGGGTTGGGAGAGGAGGCTGACGACAAGAAAGTAGCGTGAGGACATTTTTGGGGGGATGGAAGTGTTCTGTATCTTGTGTGATCAGGGTACTGCATACTGAAACTGCACTGAGAGGCTATTCTACATGCAAACATTAGTCTGATCATCACAAGTGCTGGGAAGGATGAGGGGCAGCCAGAACTCATATCCTGCTGGTAGATGCTTCAATCTGCACAACCACTTGAGAAAACTTGTCCTTGTCTAGAGAAGTTGAAGCTGCAAATACCCTAAGACCTAACAGTGCCAGACAAGACAATCATGCACGTCCATGTCTCCTGAAGCCAAGCACAAGAGCATTCACAGCAGGAACTGGAAACCCGTATATCAGGAGGATGGAATACCATGGAATCCTTGTAACAGTAATAATGAATGAACCGCAGCTTCAGGCATCAACGTGGATAAATCTCATGAACATAATGTTGCACAAATAAAAGCAAATGGCATGAGTGGGATTCCATTTATATAAAAGCAAAAAATTATGTGAAACGAAACCATGTTTTCTTTAGAGATATATGTGTACAAGCTAAAACTATAAGAAAAAAACAAGGAAACAACAACCACTGAACTCAGGATGATGGTTCTCTCTGGGGAAGAGGAACACAATGAGCTACTAAAAATATGCGTGTCAGCTGGGTTCGGTGGCTCTGGCCTGGAATCCCAGCACTTTGGGAGGCTGAGATGGGAAAATCATTGAATCAGTTGAGCCCAGGAGTTCGCGAAGAGCCTGGACAACATAGTGAGACTGTGTCTCTACAAAAAATTTTAAAAATTTAGCCAGGCGAAGTTGCATGCCTATAGTCCTAGCTACTTGGGAGGCTGAGGTAGGAGGATGAGGGTTTGAGCTTGGGAGGTTGAGGCTGCAGTGATTGGGCCACTGCACTCCAGCCTGGTTGACAGAGTAAGACTCTGTTTCCAAAAAGAAAAAAAAGCAAGAAAGAAAAAAGAAAAAAAAAAAAAAGCCAGACATAGAGGCTCATGTCTGTGATCCCAGCATTGGGGATGCCGAGACAGACAGATTACCTGAGGTCAGGAGTTTGAGACCAGCCAGGCCAACAAGGTGAAACCCTGGCTCTACCAAAAATGCAAAAATTAACCCAGTGTGGTTGCGGGCACCTGTAATCCTAGGTACTTGGGAGGCTGAGGCAGGAGAATCACTTGAACCCAGGAGGCGGACGTTGCAGTGAGCCGAGATCACACCATTGTACGCCAGCCTGGGTGACAAGAATGAAAATCCATCTCAAAAATAAAAAAAGGATGTTGTTCTATTTCTTACACTGGGTGGGGGGTACATGGGTGTTACTTTCATTGCTGTTCTTTACACTATGTGCATATGTAACAGTCTCATTATTAATTCCATTTTCATTTTTGTAAATGGGAAAAAATCATATTCATGTCAATTAAACAGACGTTTATTGAGTACTGGATATCAAGGGCCTAAGGAAGGGTATGACTGTGGTACCTTGATCTTGGCGCCCAGCATCTCGGCAGCATCCTTCTCCCGCCGCAGGTCCTCCATCTTCTTCTCCTTCTCCTTCAGTAGCCTCATCTTCTCCTCTGCAACCAAGCTGTGATCCTCTACAATGGCCCGTTTCTCAATCTCCAGTTTTTCTTGCTGTTCCCGCCAGTAATCATCCTTATCATCCCCTTCCTCCTCACCCTCTTCTCCCTCCTCCTCCTCCTCTTCCCCACCCCCACCACTGCCACCACCTTCCCTCCGCTTCTCTCGCCTCCTCCTCCTGCCTATGGACCGTTTTTCCAGCTGGGCCTTGAGCCGAGCAATTTCTTCCTGGAATTCTCGAAGGAGGGCATCCTTGGGGTCCTCATTGACCCTTGGTTTGTTCTTAATGTTTTTGGCACGGTTGGCATATCGCAGAGTGGTCAGAGTCTCTTCTACATTGTAAGAGGCAGGCCCCACATTGGCCACCATCACAGTCTTAGCATTGCCACCAAGGGAATCTTGGAGGAGCCTGGTAAGCTTTGAGTCCCGATATGGAATGTGAGTGCTTTTGCCGTCCACCAGAGCAGAGATGACGTTACCCAAAGCGGAAAGGGAGAGGTTGATCTTGGTAGCTTCTTTTAATCTTTCCCCTTGTGCGCCAGTCTTGGCTTGCCGTTCGCTGCCAGCAAGATCTACAAGGTTCAATTTCCCTACACGGATGTGGTTTTCACCATCGAGGCCCACCTCACTGCACTCAATAGTGATAACGAAAATTGCATGGGAACGTGAGCTGTGCTCGTTCATGTTGGTAGCACCGACAGAACGGTTCTGGTTCCCCACATTCATCACGTGCTCTATCTCCTTCACACTCTTGGTGACAAAGGAAGACAGGTCTTTCACATACACTCCTGTGTCAGGCCTCTCTTTGAGCTCAAGCCTTTTGGTCTGATCCTTTGAGAGCAGATCTCGGATCTCCTCCTGGTAGATCTCTAAGTAAGAAGCCCTGACCAGGTACTGTTGATTCTGGGATCGAGAGATGTGGGTGAAGATGTGGTCAAATGAGTTGGGAATGACTCCTCGTTTTTCCGGGTCACCACGGATTCCTTCCATTGTGTAGGTCTTTCCCGTCCCAGTTTGTCCATAGGCAAAAATGGTTCCATTGAAACCTTGCAGGACGGAGTCAACAAGCGGTCGGAATGTCTCATCGTACAGTTCAAACTGCTTGGCATTCCAGTCATAGACTGCGTCAAAGGTGAAGGTCTTGGGCATTTCATGGGCCGTCCCTTTGGGGTTCTTCACAGACACCTGCCCCAGTTTAACATCCACATCCACCACTTTGTCATATGAAGCAGCCTTTTCCTTGCCATTCATGGGCCGACAGCGAACCACCACCCTGACCGACTCTGAGCTTTTCAACTTTGACATGATGAACTCTGACCCAGTCAATCTTGAGAGGTGTCAATTCAAAATGTATCAGAATGCTAAGGACCTAGAAAAAAAGCAAAAGTAAATAAGCACAGTATTGTTGTTATTGGGGGCTGCCTGACAGAAGCTAACACACCTAAATAATCTTCACCTTGGTAACCTGACAGCAATATCTGGTAACATTACTACATTGCATATTTCCTCACAGGAATTAACCAGCTTCAGTGGTAAAAATAAAAAACTGTATTCCACCAGTACGGAAGGGTATGGGTACAGGCCACTGCGGACTCTAGCCCATCCTCTTCTCAATCAATATTTGATCTTATGCTATAGGCTGAGGCAGCTGAAATCTTTTAAAAGTCTGGGTCTTACTCTGGGAGGTCGAGGCAGGAGTTTGCTGAGGCCAGGAGTTTGAGACCAGCCTGGGTAACTAAGTAAGACTCTGTATCCAAAAATTTTTTTAATTAGGCTGTATGCAGTAGCTCACATCTGTAATCCCAGCATTTTGGGAGGATGAAGTCAGAAGATCACTTGAGTACAGGTTGAGACTAGCCTGGGCAACATAGTGAGCCCCAATCTCTATCAAAAAAAAAAAAAGTCAATTAGCCGGGCACATTGGTTCATGCCTTAGCTACTTGAAAAGCTGAGATGGGAGGACTGCTTCAGCCCAGGAGGTTGAGGGTATAGTCAGCTGTGATCACACCACTGCACTTCAGCCCAGGAGGTTGAGGGTAGAGTCAGCTGTGATCACACCACTGCACTTCAGCCCAGGAGGTTGAGGGTAGAGTCAGCTGTGATCACACCACTGCACTTCAGCCTGGATGACAGACTGAGATGCTATCTCAAAAATAAATAAAATAAAAATAATGACCAGCCTCGGTTGCTTACACCTGTAATTCCAGCACTTTGGGAGGACAAGGTGGACGGATCACTTGTGGCCAGGAGTTTGAGACCAGCCTGGCCAATGTGGTTAAACCCTATCTCTACAAAAAATACAAAAATTAGCTGGGCGTGGGGGCAGGTGCCTGTAATCCCAGGTATTTGGGAGGCTGAGGCACACACAAGAATCGCTTGAGCCTGGGAGGCAGCAGTTGCAGAGAGCCAAGACTGTACCACTGTACTCCAGCCTGGACAACAGAGCAAGACTCTGTTTCAAAATAAATAAAGTAAAAAAAAAAAAAAAAATTAGCCAGGGGTGGTAATGTGTGCCTGTACTCCTAGCTAATCAGGAAGCTGAGGCAGAAGGATTGCTTGAGCCCAGGGGTTCAAGGCTGCAGTGAGCTATGATTGTGTCACTGCACTCCATCTTACACAACAGAATGAAATCAAGTCTTATATTCTGTTGAGCTTCTATAACCTGTTGAACTACCCCAACCTCTGGGTAGAGCAATTTGGAACTATCTATCAATATTTAGAATGTATATAACTTTTGATCTAGCAATTGTATTTCTAAGAATTTATCCTGAAGATACATATCTTAAACAATGACATATATACAAGGATATCTGTTGCGGTAGCAACAGATTGTGGGCAACCCTGATTCCCATCAAGAGAAGACTGATTAAATTAAATATATTTAATATATGTGGAATCCTATGCAGTTATTAAAAAGAATGTGGTGCCTAAGGAGGGGTGAACTGGCCCAGGTCAGAAACGGAGCAAGTCAGAACTCCCGAGCTGATCAGTAGCGGGATTGCACCTGTGAATAGCCACTGCACTCCAGCCTGGGCAACATAGTGAAACCTCTTCTTTTTTTTGGAGACAGAGTCTTGCTCTGTGGCCAGGCACTAGGCTGGAGTGCAGTGGCCTGATCTCGGCTCACTGCAACCTCTGCCTCCCGAGTTCAAGCAATTCTCCTGCCTCAGCCTCTGGGGTAGCTAGGACTACAGGCGCACGCCACCACACCCGGCTAATTTTTTTGTACTTTTAGTAGAGACGGGGTTTCACCATGTTGGCCAGGATGGTCTTGATCTCTTGACCTCGTGATCCACCCACCTCAGCCTCCCAAAGTGCTGGGATTACGGGCTTGAGCCACTGTGCCTGGCACCCCCCGTCTCTTAAAAAAAAAAAGATCATATATATACATTAAATAAAAAAAAGAATGTAGTAATCAAAATCTAAATGTAATCCTATACTGAGATATGTTGTTAAGTGAAAAAAAGTAGGAGATAGTGTGTACAGTATAGTTTACATGGTATGAAAATTGCAAGCTATAACACCAAGAATAAGCCTTAATACAAATTACACACTTGGGTGATAATGTGTCAATGTAGGTCTGTTACTTGTAACAAACGTACAACTCTGGTAGGAGATGTCCATAATGGGGGAGGCTCTGCATGTGTGGTGGCAGAGGTATATGGGAAATCTGTCTACCTTCTCCTTAATTTTGCTGTGAACCTAAAACTGCTCTAAAAAGAAACTCTATTTAAAAAACAAACATTACATACAAAAGGGGGGATATCTACCCAGATTTCAGAGAAAAAAAAAGGGGGGGATATATGCATGCTAGATGCTTGATATGAATACAATATTGTTAGAAATATACGTCTAAAGGTAGTAACCTTAGCAGGGGAACTGTGGGCCTAGGAGACTCAGAAGCCTAGAGAAAGAGGAAAAACTTTTCACTGCATACTCGTTCATAGTGTTTGAATTTCCTAGCTTGTGCTGATGATACTTTTCAATCCCACAGTCATCAATAAAAACTGGCTTGTGCAAAATGTGTGCAAATAAATAAGGATGTGGTATAATACATTACATAAAAAGCACTCATTCAATCAATAATTTTTTTTTTTTTAAGATGGAATCTTGCTCTTATCGCCCAGGCTGGAGTGCAATGGAGTGATCTCAGCTCACTGCAACCTCCGCCTCCCAAATTCAAGCAAATTTCCTGCCTCAGCCTCCCAAGTAGCTGGGATTACAGGCGCCTGCCACCAGGGTCTACTAAAAATACAAAATCAATCAATAAATTTAATAGAATTAGAATGCAAATAAGAAAATCGAGCCAGGTGTGGTGGCTCACACCTGTAATCCCAGCACTTTGAGAGGCCAAGGCCAGTGGATCACCTGAGGTCAGGAGTTAGAGACCAGCCTGGCCAACATGGTGAAACCCCATCTCTACTAAAAAAAAATACAAAAATTTAGCCAGGCGTGGTGGCACGTAATTCCAGCTACTTGGGAGGCTGAGGCAGGAGAATTGTTTGAACCTTGGAGACAGAGGCTGCAGTGAGCTGAGATCATTTTATTGCACTCTAGCTTGGGTGACAGAGCAAGACTCCAACTCAAAAAAAAAAAAAAAAAAAGAAGGGAGGTGTTAAAATTTTATAAAGTAAAAGCAAAAAAAAAGAGAGAATTTCATTTGGTGCTTGGAAACTCAAGGAGCAGAAGAAAGGATTAAATGGGTCCTTTGAGTGGGGGTAGGTAGTAACCAGGTCAGAGTACTTTACCGGTATATATGAAGACCCAAAACTCCGAAAAATCTCAGTGCAGGGATTTTTTTTTTTTTTCTTTTTAAAAGACAGTCTCACTTTGTCACCTAGGCTGAAGTGCAGTGGCATGATGATAGCTCACTGCAGCCTTGACCTCCCAGGCTGAAGCAATATTCTGCCACCTTGGCCTCCCAAGTAGCTGGGTCTATGGAAATACTTTGTAAACTAATATAAAGCTGGATTAAAATAACAATACAGATTCATCCAAAACCATTGTCAAGGGGTCATTCCAGAGATTAAGGATGAGTCCTAATTTTATGCATTAAACATCACTAGAATAAAATTTCTTTCTTTCTTTCTTTCTTTTTCAGAGACTGAGTTTTGCACTTGTCACCAAGGCTGGAGTGCAATGCTGCAATCTCAGCTCACTGCAACCTCTGCCTCCCGGGTCTAAGTGATTCTCCCGCCTCAGCCTCCCAAGTAGCTGGGATTACAGGTGCCTGCCACCATGCCAGGCTAATTTTTGTATTTTTAGTAAAGAGGGGGTTTCACTATGTTGGCCAGGCTGGTCTCAAACTTCTGGCCTCAGATGATCTGCCCGCCTTGTGCTCCCAAAGTACTGGAATTACCGGTGTGAGCCACTATACCCAGCCTAAAATGACGTTTCTTTTTTTTTGAATGGAATCTCGCTCTGTTACCCAGGTGAGATCTTGGCTTACTGCAACCTCTGTCTCCCAGGTTGAAGCAATTCTCCTAACTGAGCCTCCCAAGTAGCTGGGATTACAGGCGCTTGCCACTACACCCAGCTAATTCTTGCATTTTTAGTACAGATGGGGGGCGGTGAGTTTCACCATGATGGCCAGGCTGGTCTCGAACTCCTGACCTCGGGCAATCCACCCTCCTCAGCCTCCCAAAGTGCTGGCATTACAGGCATGAGCCACCAGGCCCAGCCTAAAATCACATTTCTATTGTTCAATCTGTAACAATTATCCTAAATTGAGATCTAAATACCTAATTGATGTTCAATAAGAACTAAATCTCAAGCCATGTAAAGAAAACTATGCAAAAGGAGGCCCTTCAGGAATGTATTCATTATCTTCTAGTTCGGAGTATCCAATCTTTTGGCTTCCCTGGGCCATACTGGAAGAAGAATTGTCTTGAGCCACACATAAAATACACTAACACTAACACTAGTTAATGAGCTAAAAAAAAAATCTCTTGTTTAAAGAAAGTTTACGAATTTGTGTTCGGCCACATTCAAAGCTGTCCCAGGTCATGGGTTAGACAAGCTTCTTCTAGATGCTATTAGAATTTTGCCAGTTAGGAAGAAAGAGCCATGTGTTAGAATGGCCAGTTTACTGCGTCATTTCAGGAGAATGGCTCTTGAGCTACGGCCTGTCTCTCCCTGCATTTCAACAGAGGCCTGCCAGAGCTGATCTAGGTGCAAAGGGAAAATCCCAGTCCCTGAGCCTCCTCTGGGAAGACCTCTGCTGCAGTGCACAAGCCTGCCAGACAAGATCCTAGACCTGAAAGAGTAAGAGAAACGGAATAGCAGGGTGGGGCAGGGAGACAGGTCAGTGCAGAGGACTGATCCTTCTGCATTACAGACTTTTGAGAAGGCGGAGCGGTCCAACTTTTA